CACAGGTTTGAGTGTAGGAGGAAACTGAGAGGAAACAGGATTCTTAGGAATACTTCCGATTTTCAACCTCCGATCAAACTTGTTTTGATGTTTATTACACCCACATTCCTTTACTGTAATTTGTCAGATTTTAGTAGCGATTTCGTTCTTTCCTCGCTTAACCATTAACTCACGAAATCCCGATATACGAACTTTTCTGTTTTCACTTTTTGAGAATTATTCTAAAGATGTTTAAGGGAACACCGTGGATAATTTATAGTTGAATACTAAATTGAATATTTTAATCCTGATTTATAAGAGCCATAATAAACTAAATTCATCTTTTGAAGTACTTCTAAAGATTTCTTAGGAATCTCCTAAAATTACAAATATACCCAAATATTTTTTTAAAAAAATGCACGTAAACGAAATTATTTTTCCCTTCAAAATCAGAAAAATGCACTAAAAAATTAAGAAAAAAAAATACCTAAAAAAATACCGAAATACAAAAAGAAATTTGCAAATGTCATCGAACTTTGGATTAAGTCCTTGACATAATTGATTATAGTAGTTTTCGATTTATATCGATTTTGGGCTTTAGCTCTTGATTCCTCAATTTATCTACAAAAAAAAGGTTACGGTTTAAAGTTATGATTGTTATCTATCAATATATTCACATAAAACCATTAGAACAATATAAAAGTACTTCTAAAGATCTCTGAAGAATCTCCTAAAATTTTAAATACACTTAATATTAAAAAAAAAAAAATTCGAAAACTATTTTTTTTCGTCTTTAAAACCTGAAAAATGCACTAAAAATTAAACAAAAAAAGAAAAATTTAATTTATCAGTATCTCAATTTATCTACATAAAAGGAAACGGTTTAAAGTTACGATAGTTATCTATCAATATATTCGCATAAAACCACAAGAAAAATATAAAATTTGCCTCGTGAATTCGAAAGAGATGTTACTTTCTTTAAACGTTTGTGTGACGCATGGGTGACATCCATATATTTATACAGTTAGATAGTATCTAGCAAACCTCCTTCTTCAGAGGGTGAATGTTTAATAAATCTGTTCCATAAAGAAGATTACTCAGTTAGGGATTATTGGGGATGGGGTAGATCACAGCTCTATAAATCTGCTGACTATTTCCCCTCCAACTGATGTAGACTTCAAGCTCATGAAATCGATGAATCTAAACGGGAATTACTATGTATAATATTTCGAGTAGAGAGGGAGCTCCAATCAGCACTCTGCCATTTGAACACAATATATATATATATATATATGTTACGCTTTGAAAGCCTAAACATTGTAAGTTCGTAGTGTGGCCGGTGCTTCTTGAAAAAGATACAGGAAAATACGGTAATCATAATCTAATTTTATTAACGTAAGGGCCAGAGCCCCAGAATGACAACATTACATGCTGGTGGATAGGTATNTATTAAACTTAAAAGCATTTTTTTTCTTCCTCACAAAATATTATTTTAATTACAATAAATCGTTAATTTAAAGCGGCATAACGAAACGCCATAAGCCTGAGAAAAAAAAGAAGAAAAACTCACCACTAGGTGGCAATCATGTTCCGTTCTTCCACCAGTCTCAAGAATCGTCTGCTTTTCCCGTTTAGTGTTAAGTATTCCGCTTCTCGGTACGGATGCGGTCAGGAGCGCTTTATTTAAAACTAACATTGTGATTCGATTTTGGAACGTGTGTTTGTGTGCGGTACTGCCGGGTTTTGGCACCGTTTCTTGCAACAGAAATTTCAGTATTAGGTGTTTTATTTCTTCCGCATTGGATTACTGACAGAGTATTTTTCACTGTGCTGATTTTCTAAGCACAAAATGCCAGGAAAGAGTTGGATTTTTATCACATTTTGTGCTGCGTTGTCTTCTCTGCACTGTCTTGCGGACGGGTCATCAGCGGCAAGGCGGCGATTACCGGCTCCTTTGCCCCCAATCGAAGATGACGTATCGGAAGAAGGTAGGAATATATATATTCAAAATACACATTTTTAACTATTTAATTTTAAGAGACGAAAAAAAGAGGGTTTGTATCAAATTGGGAGTATAGTTTCTAAACTATAAATATTTTTTTTTAAATTTCGATTTAACTGATTGACTAATTTCGTTTGCATTTTGTCATTTAAAATTACACAGTTTAGAATGATATGTAAATTACGAACCATGGAAGGTTTTCGTGGTTTTCCTCTCCGAGTAACGTAAATGTGGGTTAGTCCCATCAAACAAATTTTCCACGAAGGCAAATTTCACCCAATGCTTGATCTAGGAGTTCCCTTGTTTTCAGGATTGGGTTCAAAATTACAAGGTTACGGAGTTGAACATTAGTAGTCGTAAATCACAACTAGGATCGGCAGATGTAAATAAATATAAATGATTTTGAGAATTTTTCTCTGGGCGGAAAAATCTCGCTACATTGGCGATTTTAGTTTTAATAATTTAAAAGTTTCTATAGTCGTGGTAGCCCAGTAGTTGGTTAATCGGACTCCAGTTCAAAGGGGCCGGGACTCGATCCTCGACTCTGCTAAAACCCACCTAGTATACGTGATATACATCCTCGTAAAATCTGTGAAATCGAAAGTTCTGTAGTCGGCTTCTGAACAGTGCCATGGATGAAGGATCTCCCTTCCCCTTTATATCTATGTCTAAATCATGGATATAGCCTCTCGAATGAATGATACTGTCATCTATCTGGGGGATTCTGAGCTAAGAGGTGCTTTCACCCTTGCGGTGCTCTCTTGTCAAACGAAAGAAGCGCCTTCCTGGTTTAATTCGCAAAGCTTAGCTTGGTTTGCGGATGAGCTAGGCTTGTCTAAATGTCGTTAGATACAACAGCGACAACAAAAGTTACTTCAGCGCTCCGTTATCTAGGCCCATAAAAATTTTCGAAATTTGAGAATTATTCATTGATTTTGATAATTTTCCTAAAACTAGAAAAATCTAGCAACATTGGCGATTGTCATAAAATTTAATAACTCTTTAAATAGTAGAGTTATTTATCCATTCTAAAGCCCATATAATTCTTTAGGGTGATAGGTGGTTTATATAGTTTAAAACAATAGTTTTGCTTTAGTGTAAGTCACTTAAATTGTGGCAGTTTTTATTTTTCTTGACGAAGCAACTTCGAGAAACATTGTTAAATAGAATAATCAGCTCACATTATGAAAACTAACTTGACCAACATCGATTGTTATTACAAATTCTAAATAACAGCAAATTTTCGCGTCTAATCCAGGATGCGAACTTTGAACTTTCAGAATTGATTTTGCACTTTGAGAACAATTTTCTCTTAATACTTACTTAAGAATCGAAGAGTTATTTCAAAGTTATATAAGCAGATCTGATTTTTTTTTTTTAAACTTCATTCTAGCGTGTGGGGGAAAAATTGAGCTTTACCGATGCCACCGACCAAAACACAAAAATAAAGAGCATCCTTAGAAATTGCATCTTAGGAAAATGTATATAAAAGTTCTGATCCGTGATGACACGTCATTTCTCCATTTCATTGATCCCAATCTCCTTTTTTTGTTCGATTTTTCCCAGCAGCAAGAAAAACATTCGAAGTGGGAATAGAAGTAAGAATAGAATATAAGAAAAATACAATAATTCGTGCTTCTATCCGTCTCAGCAGCGGGTGGGCTTAACTTGACCCCTTTAACCAGGGTTAAGGTTAATAGAAAGACAAACATTGTAGGGCGTTTGCATGATGACACGTAGGATGCATTTGAATACCGTTTGTAAGGAGGGGTGTGCCAAGTAAAATTATCGTTTGTTCATATCGAATTAAATATAGAATAGTTTCTACTGTTTGTTGCATTAAATGGACATGGATTAATGAATTTGTAATTTATTCTTTTGCAGTTTGTCTCGAAATTTCCAAGTTTCCATATTTTCGTCTAATTTTATTTAGTTTTGTTTTTCAGTTAAATAAACGAAAATAATGACATAAAATAATGAGTTAGAAGTCATAAAATACAAGGTGTGACTATTCATTTTTAGGATTGATTTAATAACTCCCTGAAATATTGTGTGAATTTCATGCCTATGAAATGTGTTTCCAAGAAACCTCCAACTGCCGTAATATATTTCTGGGAAAGTTTGTGAAAGTGCTTTTTCTGAATGCTCTTTAATTTTGACATTCGAAATCCTCAAACCTTGTTCCGTTTCGCAAACAAATATTATGAATTTTAAGGTTGTTAATATTTATTAAAAGGTTGTTAATACGTATTTACTAATATTAATTAATATTTATTGTAGAATTTAGAAAAAACTACTGTGGTTTTTAACCATTAACGGTATAAGTACAACAACAATTGCTTATCACATAAATGCTAGGCCCGAAAAAAATGTGGTGAAACTCAATTGTTTATACCAAAAAAACATTTCTTTTTGCCATCAACTACTTTTAGTATTAACAACAAAACACTGTTCTTTGACCTCATATTACTAATGTATCACGTGTTTGACAGAATTATCTTGTTACTTTGAAAAAAAAGGGTCAGTCTCTTTCTAAAGAGCGCTTGGCGCAAGCCAGATAAATAAACAATTCTATAGAGATCAAAACAAGAAACTCACAACGTAAAGCATTTTTTTTAAAAAAATACAAGATACAATTGAAATATATTGCTGCTACGTATGATACTACTGAGCGTAATAGTGAATCTTGATTCAAAAATTCCGAATAACAAAAAAAGGGAGCGGTAATGTTCTTTTATTAGCGCTGTGTTTATGAAAATTATGAATAAAATAGTACTAACATTTCTTTAACATTTAACTGACATTTTTTCTAAATGTTTAATTTAAATACATTATTAATCTTATTAGCATTTATTTCCTTTCTCAAAATATTGTTACAATTACAATAAATCGTTAATTTTAAACGGCATATCGAAACGCCATAAGCCTAAAATTAAAAAAAAAAAGAAGAAAAACTCACCACTAGGTGGCAATCATGTTCCGTTCTTCCACCAGTCTCAAGAATCGTCTGCTTTTCCCGTTTAGTGTTAAGTATTCCGCTTCTCGGTACGGATGCGGTCAGGAGCGCTTTATTTAAAACTAACATTGTGATTCGATTTTGGAACGTGTGTTTGTGTGCGGTACTGCCGGGTTTTGGCACCGTTTCTTGCAACAGAAATTTCAGTATTAGGTGTTTTATTTCTTCCGCATTGGATTACTGACAGAGTATTTTTCACTGTGCTGATTTTCTAAGCACAAAATGCCAGGAAAGAGTTGGATTTTTATCACATTTTGTGCTGCGTTGTCTTCTCTGCACTGTCTTGCGGACGGGTCATCAGCGGCAAGGCGGCGATTACCGGCTCCTTTGCCCCCAATCGAAGATGACGTATCGGAAGAAGGTAGGAATGGGATTTGTTTGTTTTTATTTAAACGGTTACGAGTATATTCTAATACAAAAAATGTAATGGCATTATAATCACGACCGTTTATTAAATAATTGTCAAATGGATTTGGCTTTATAATTCTGCCCGTACATAAAATAAATGTCAATTAGACATTGATATGTCAATAATATAAAATATGTAATGACATTTATATACTCCGCTCTTTAAATAAATGTCAATTTGATATAAAGGATGTAATGACTTTACTATCACTCCCTTTCTCTAAATAAATGTCAATTAGATATTGAAATGTCAATTGGATATGGCTTTATAATTCTGACCGTAATAATTATTAAATAATAATTCAATTAGATATTGATATGGCAATTACATAAAAAAAGGCAATGCCATCTACGAATTTGACCGTTCATTAAATAATTGTCAATTAGATATAAAGGATGCAATTAATGACTTTAGAATCACTACCAAACATTAAATAAATGTCATTTAGATATTGCAATGTCAATTGGATATAGCTAATAATTCTGACCGTACATTAAATAATTGTCAATTAGTTATTGATATGTCAATTACATAAAAGATGAAATGTCATCTATAAATTTGACCGCTCATTAAAAATATGTCAATTAGATATAAAGGATGTAATGAGTTTGCAGTCACTACCGTGCATTAAGTAATTGTCATTTAGATATTGAAATGTCTATTAAAAGGAGATTCGTGACGGTGCATTAGATATCAATTAGATATTGATATTACAAAGATATTGATATGACGGTACAAAGATGTAAACTCCACCATTCATTAAATAAATCTCAATTGGATATAAGGAATGTAATGATTTTACAATACCGTATATTAAATAAATGTCCTTTAGATATTGAAATGTCGGTTAGATAGGACTTTATATTCATGACAGTACATTAAATATTGATATGACAGTTACATGAAAGTTGTTAACCCAATCATTCATTAAAATTAATTAGATCTAATTCCATCAGATATCATATTTCTATCTATTAATTAGATCTAAATCTATTAGATCTTTAGGTCAAATCAATTTGATCTATCTTTATATCTAATTGATCATGAATATTAATTAGATATAAAGGATGTAATGATTTTACAATCGCTACCGTTCATTAAATAAATATTAATTGGATATAAAGGATGTAATGACTTCACAATCACTACCTTTTAATAAATAAATATAAATTATATATGGCTTTAAAATCCTGACCGTACTTTGAATGTCAATTAGATATTGATGCGTTTATTATATAAAAGATGTAATGACATTTATAAACTCAACCGTTCATTAAATTAATTTAAATTAGATATAAAGGATGTAATGACTTTACAATCACTACCTTTCACCAAATAAATACAATTTAGATATTGAAATGGCAATTAGATATAACTTCATGCTAACGACCGTGCATGAAGTTAATGTTAATTATATATTGATATGTCAACTTAATATGAAGGATGTAATGAGCTTTACTAAACCTGACGTTCATTAAATTAATTTCTATTAGATATAGAGGATTTAATGACTTTAATAATAACGGCATTTTTAAATAAATGTCAATTAGTTATGAAGGATGTAATGCATTTATAACTAAGACTGATCTTTAAAATGTCAATTCGATATTCGATTGTTATGACTTTATAGTCATGACCATTCATTAAATAAATGTCACTTAAATGTTAAATAATTCATACGCTATTTTTTTTCTCTCCCGAAAATGCAGTAGGAATATTCTATAAGTTGAAGTGTTTAAAACTCAAAAATTTTATAAATTACAGATGTGTTGCATAAGTATCATACATGAGTCATACATTTACAATGTATTATTCTAACGATGCTTCATTTCTTCCAATGTATTATCTGAATTAACGTAATTCAAATTAAACGATATCAGAATGTTCCACGCGCAAAAATATTTTAAAGCAGAGATATAATAATTTCCATGGTTCTTTGTTTCATTGTATTATTCTAAATTATTTTCTCCAATGATTTTTAAACGATTGGAAATATTTTACTTGCTGAAATGTTTAAATTTTTTAAAATTGTAAAAATGATTTGTGTTTATCATAGTTGTAAAAAAATACTAAATATCTTTGAAGAATGAAAATTAATAGTTCATTTGCATTTTCGTTACAATAGTTGATTTTATTCATCTATTTAAAAATTTGCTTCATTATTTAATTTTAAAAGTTATCAAGTTCATGACAATTAATGAGAAAAATAACTTTACCTGATTACTGCTAATTAGTCAGTGAAAAAAAAGTTATAAAACAACTGGATAAGTATAGATCCTTATAGACATTACAATCAGGTTTAATTACTAAAAATGATATAGCATTTGCGTTTTTGCTTAGTTGTATGTCACTTACTTATCATCTAAATTAAAGAAAATTGTATTTTCGCTTAAATATAGAGAAATAAGAACAAGTTTAAAAAAAAAAAGAAAAACTGTTGCTCTTGTTGTAAGGTGGGTACAGTTTAACAGGTTTGAGCTATATCATATCAATCTAGAAAATGTATAATTTTATAATTTATTTTTTGCTGAAGTTATGTAACGGAAATCTATATTTATGCATTTCTGCGACTAAGTAAGTTTTCATTTCTTCTTTTCGCTTTGGCTACAAAGAGATGAAATATCAAGCATGTGAGCTATCTTAAGTACGTGTTTGCAAATTTCTGAATGAAAATTCATTCCTCATATGGGCAAAGAAAAGCTGAAACAGACAATAAGATAAGCAATAAATTGGGAAGAATTGAAAAGGTAAAAGCGAATAATTCATATCAACAAACCAAGTGTTTTGTATTACATTTTAATTATACTTATGCTGGTCGATTAATAATAATTTTAATCATTTAATAATGATTAAAATTATTATTAATCGACTAGTATAAGTATAATTATTGAGTATTAGTTGCGCTGTTACACTTTTTAAGTAAAGATAACTTGCTTGAAGAGCTGAAGAAAGCTTTGATGACAGTTAAGAAAAGAAAAAAAAGCGTATTTAAACGAATGTATAATTCAATAACTTATTTATTAACTAAAAAAAATTTACTTTTTTTTAAACAAAAATTAGTTTTAAAGAATTTAATAATTGATTGAAATTCTTAATATTTTATGCTAGAACACGTTTCAAATAGGTCTAACTTTTGTTGCGAGTGAGACGAGTATGGATTTTTTAATTTACATTTTTGTATCCACTTTAATTTTATTCCAAGTTTTGTTTAAATTTTCTTTTAAAACATACGTTTTATTAAAATTTAAGATTATAATTTTATAAATTACACAATTCAAAATTTATTTTGAATTAAAATTACTCCTATGTCTGTTTAAATTAATGTCGTAGTTCTGTTTAAATTAACATTTAAAGTACTTTGTTGTAGACTACTTACATTTAATGTCGTGCAAATCTTCGTAAGAAATCGAATAGCTGTTACACTTAGCTTGACCATCGTAAATTTTTTTTTCTAATTTTTTGATCACTTTTGTTATTAAATTAAAGTATTGCGCAACCGAAATTCATATGTGATAAAGTATATTGAAAAATATAAATTTATCTGACTTGGTGTTTTTATAGGGTTTTATACTTACAGTAGCAATTGGGGCCAATTGTGCCATGTTTATGCTCCAATAAAAATGATATAACGAACGATAATCTTTTGTTTCAGTGCCTTGTTTTAGGACACGGCAGAATAACTTTCCTTTCAAAACAATATAAAATAAAATATAAAAATAAATATTAATAAATAAAGGAAAAGCGATAAAAAATAATTTAGAGTTTAAAATGTCAGATTATTATTAATGATAAAAGCATCGTTTATCCATCAGGGCTTTTTTCTTTTTTTTTCCCCAAGAAATAATTTTAATTATGCCTTTAAATATGTTATTAACTCATTATTAAAATTTACATAACAGAAAAATAATTAAAACTGAGATTTTTTTAGATGTTATGGTTTAAATATTTAATCATGCAAACTATATCAACTTGTTTGAAATGCTTTTGCATTTATCTGTGCCACAAAAGTGGGAAATTGTCAAACGATTTAATTAAAAAAAATTTTTGCTGTCTAAATGATATGTTTACAAGCCTTTTAAAAGGGTTTTAAAAATAGCAAAACGACGTTTAGAATCCCAAAATATTCCGCCATGGTGTAAGTAATCACTGATAAAAATCTTAAAGAATGTTCTAAGGAGGAACTCAACTCAACTCAAATACTAAGGAGGAACTCAACAAGGACTCAACTGTTCACACGGATCTGCCGTGCTGATCTCCGCAATCTTATTATTATTATTCCACGTAGATTATCTCGATAAATTCGATCAAAATAAAACTCCGAATTTAGCATGAGCAACAACAGGACATCATTGTGTGTCCGATTTTAGAAAAAGGAAGAAGCCCTTGTCACTTCCAAGACCCCAAACGGTTTGTTTTTCTTATCTTTTTTTTTTTATATTCCCCCATTGCAAACGATTTCTTTTAACGTTTTTCTTTCTTATCTACGTTTCCTGAGTACAATCTTTTTGCATCGGGGGAGTTACGGCAGATGCGAGTTGCATGTTGCCACCATTCTTACCTCTTTTGAGGGGGGTTTCTGTCTGCCAGAGTATTTTGTTATGACGTTTTTTTCTTCCGTATCAAGCTGGGCGCTATGGTAAGATGGGGGGAAGTGAATTCGTGCTCAGCTACGTGCCTGATTGGACGAAATTCGTCTTGGGGGTGCTTCTGAATTGCGACCCCCGGGCACGTGCTCTCTGACAAGTTTGTATTTTCTTTCCCTTTCTTGGTTGTTAGCAGAGGGGTACCATTTTAGGAAAAAAGGTAGAAAATCACTTGCACCATCAAATTGTTTTAGAGGGGGCTACGGGTACCTGGTACATTTTAAGATACTTCTTTTAAAAATGCCTATATTTGAATTATTTTTTTAAAAAACTGTTTTACCATTTAAAAGGTATGCAAAACATGTAATA